TTTAGCGGTACTTAAGAAACAGCTACAAGCTAACAGTACTATTATGCCATTAGCATAAAAGTTTTGTGTATACGGGCCCTGGATGTTAACTGATTTGCGGATCGTATTCCGGGGTAATGGTTAGCCAGTGCAGTTGGCGAGTTGTCCGTCCTCTTGGGCTATTCCTTGACATTGGGTCATGCAACTCGTTAACTTGGGTGTGGTTGTTGTGTTGGCGACAGCTTCTACACCTTAAACATATTCACGCCAAGATGGCCCTAGGGCTGGCCATCCTCGTTACACGAGGGGCATCCATTACATATTATGTATGTATGTACAGTATGTATGTGATGTCATGAAATGTAACGTAATGTATGTATGTATGTAAGTGATGTAATGTATGTATGTATGTATGTATGTAAGTGATGTAATGTATGTATGTATGTATGTATGTATGTAAGTGATGTAATGTAATGTAATGTATGTATGTATGTATGTAAGTGATGTAATGTATGTATGTATGTATGTATGTATGTATGTAAGTGATGTAATGTAATGTATGTATGTATGTATGTATGTAAGTGATGTAATGTAATGTAATGTATGTATGTATGTATGTATGTAAGTGATGTAATGTAATGTAATGTATGTATGTATGTATGTATGTAAGTGATGTAATGTAATGTATGTATGTATGTATGTATGTAAGTGATGTAATGTAATGTATGTAATGTATGTATGTATGTAAGTGATGTAATGTAATGTATGTATGTATGTAAGTGATGTAATGTAATGTATGTATGTATGTATGTAAGTGATGTAATGTAATGTAATGTAATGTATGTATGTATGTATGTAAGTGATGTAATGTAATATAATGTATGTATGTATGTATGTATGTATGTAAGTGATGTAATGTAATGTATGTATGTATGTATGTATGTAAGTGATGTAATGTAATGTATGTATGTATGTATGTAAGTGATGTAATGTAATGTATGTATGTATGTAAGTGATGTAATGTAATGTATGTATGTATGTAAGTGATGTAATGTAATGTATGTATGTATGTAGGTGATGTAATGTAATGTAATGTATGTATGTATGTATGTATGTATGTATGTATGTATGTATGTACTGACTGACTAATTCAAACCTGTGTTAGTACAGAAGTGTGAGACAATACACCTGTTATTCACACCTGTGTGAGGGACATTCAAGCACATTTGTGTGTTTAGTTCTATGCGTGGGAAATGAATTATCTACTGAATGCATAAATGTGGATTCAACAACCTATCCATTGTATGTGACAAAATTCAAAATTCAGATTCAAGCCATCACACACACACACACACACACACACACACACACACACATTAGGAAAAATCCTTAGAAAGCTGAATAAACCATAAGTATGTTATATGGAACATAAGTATAACTTCCCAAATCATTCTCATATACTTCCTCACCGCGGCCTGACGGATAGTGCAACAGTAATGTTTTGTCAAGGCTCAGGTCGAGGTTCATCCGTACTGATCATCTATATGTGTGTGTGTGTGTGGTGTGTGGTGTGTGTGTGTGTGTGTATGTGTGTGTGTGTGGTGTGGTGTTGTGTGTAAAGGCGGGGATCCGCTTTTGAATTTTGCCACAAACAGCAGCTAGTTTATTGTGCACCCATACTCATCTTGTGAGCGGTAGCGCAAAAGGATTAAAGTCAACAGTAGAGGTCACAAAGGGAGTGTCTGACAGATCCCAGGGGTCAGGATATTGTAACATTGAAAGTTAAAAAAAGTATTTTCAACACATTATTTGTTTAATTCTGTACAATATGTATGTATGTATGTATGTATGTATGTATGTATGTTCCTCAAGGGTGCTACGAGCTCCACCCATCCATTTCTGAAAGACGCTGAGGTTGTAACACATATTATCTGTAGTTATCATTATATATAAAGAGAAAATGTCTAGTATATTTTTCTTATTTGTAAATGACAGTAATGAATAAATCTCACTAAATGAACAGGTAAAACCAAGTACTGCACGATATCTATCTATCTAATCTACCTGCCTGCCTATCTAATTTTTCTGTCTGTCTAATTTACCTGTCTGTCTGTCTGTCTGTCTAATTTACCTGTCTGTCTGTCTGTCTAATTTATCTGTCTGTCTGTGTGTGATCCTCAAGGCTGCTACGAGCTACCCGTCCCATTTCTGAAAGACGCTGAGATTGCAATACACATTATCTGTAGTTATCATTATAAATAAAGATAAAATGTTGAGTATATGTTTGGAGTTTTATATTTGTAAATAATAGTAATGACTAAATCTTACTAACAACAGGTAAAGACCAAGTACTGCCTGCCTCCCTGCCTGGATGTGTTGTAGGGTTTGCTGAGGTGTCGTCACATTAACAACTAAGGTTACTGGTCATCAATAGTTAAAAATTATAAGATATAAGTGCACTTCCTGAACATATTTTGACATACAGAAATATGCAACTCCCAGTACGACAAACTGAACAAATATATCAACTTTTCATCGTCAGTTCTTTACACGTAAGATTTTTTCCTCCAATGATAAATGACAAAATATGAATAGTTATTTGGAGTCACACGCGATATATTTCTTGCCTGCTTTTATGTTTTTTTTTCAATGAGACGTTCTTGAATATTTTGCGCGAAAAAGAAATTCCTGACCAACACGACAGATGGCGTCGTGGAGGAAACATTGGCACCCAAAAGAATATTCTTGGAAATATTAAAGTTCACGTATCATAACCAGGATAATTTAGATAGTACTGAAAAGTTAAAGTAACAAGCATTTCCTTTAGGTTGTAACAAAGAGAGGTCACACTGTAGAGATCTGTGAATAAATTATTACAAAAACCTACGGGGTTTTCACTTCAAATTCACTCTCATTAATACAACATTTTAAATGTATTGTAACATGGAAACTGCAGAATCTGACATTTTACCGTAGAGACATAGACATCACAAGGTGGAGCACATAGGGGGGGGGTGATCTTAGTAGGTCTGGGTGTCTTAAGTTGCACAGTACGTACAGTATGTACACATGACCTGGTATAGCATGAGTGTTATGAACGTATGTACACATGACCTGGTGTACCATGTGTTATGAACGTATGTACACATGACCTGGTGTAGCATGAGTGTTATGAACGTATGTACACATGACCTGGTGTAGCATGAGTGTTATGAACGTATGTACACATGACCTGGTGTAGCATGAGTGTTATGAACATATGTACACATGACCTGGTGTAGCATGAGTGTTATGAACGTATGTACACATGACCTGGTGTAGCATGAGTGTTATGAACATATGTACACATGACCTAGTGTAGCATGAGTGTTATGAACATATGTACACATGACCTAGTGTAGCATGAGTGTTATGAACATATGTACACATGACCTGGTGTAGCATGAGTGTTATGAACATATGTACACATGACCTGGTGTAGCATGAGTGTTATGAACGTATGTACACATGACCTAGTGTAGCATGAGTGTTATGAACGTATGTACACATGACCTGGTGCAGCATGAGTGTTATGAACATATGTACACATGACCTAGTGTAGCATGAGTGTTATGAACATATGTACACATGACCTGGTGTAGCATGAGTGTTATGAACATATGTACACATGACCTGGTGTAGCATGAGTGTTATGAACATATGTACGCATGACCTGGTGTAGCATGAGTGTTATGAACATATGTACACATGACCTGGTGTAGCATGAGTGTTATGAACATATGTACACATGACCTGGTGTAGCATGAGTGTTATGAACATATGTACACATGACCTGGTGTAGCATGAGTGTTATGAACATATGTACACATGACCTGGTGTAGCATGAGTGTTATGAACATATGTACACATGACCTGGTGTAGCATGAGTGTTATGAACATATGTACACATGACCTGGTGTAGCATGAGTGTTATGAACATATGTACACATGACCTGGTGTAGCATGAGTGTTATGAACATATGTACACATGACCTGGTGTAGCATGAGTGTTATGAACATATGTACACATGACCTGGTGTAGCATGAGTGTTATGAACATATGTACACATGACCTGGTGTAACATGAGTGTTATGAACATATGTACACATGACCTGGTGTAGCATGAGTGTTATGAACATATGTACACATGACCTGGTGTAGCATGAGTGTTATGAACATATGTACACATGACCTGGTGTAGCATGAGTGTTATGAACATATGTACACATGACCTGGTCCACAATGAAAACGTGGATAAGATAAAATCACACGGGGAAAAGGGAAACAACGGAGCACCTTAGCTTTCGTCTTTATTCAAGGCATCTTCAGAGGCAACTGGATTACATGGACAGAGAGAGGCTTAAATATACAGGGTGACCTTATCAAACATGAGGTCAGGTCATAATGATGTCATCCACTAATCCCCACACCAACACACACGTAGAGGAGCTTAAGAGAAGGGGGCGACGTGACTAGTCAGGTCAGGTCAAAATAAGGGACCCACTAAATAACTATCATACATCTAGATCAAATGTTTTCAAAGCATTTTTAACCTTGGGCCACTGACAAATAAATTTATGTAACATATTATCAGATTTGAACTGACCATCACTAAGGTTTATTGATTTTAATTCCTTAATCAAACTAGCTTCAACCAGAAGTCTTTCTGTGACACAAGATGATTTGAATACTTCTAAGCTTTTTTCCCAAGCAATGGGGTGATTATTATTCCTAACATGAACGAACAGGACACTGCTTTCAGATGCTGTTCTGATATTGTACTTATGTTGTTTGATTCTGAGCTGCAGTGTTTTTCCTGTCTGTCCTACATAATTACCATTACATTTGCTACATGGAATACAATAAACACTTCCATTTACATTCAAACTTGGGCTATTTTTTATTAACATATTGGTAATGGTTGAGTCATACTTGAAAACAACATTAATATTTAGTAATTTAAGAGACCGAACTAACGGGACAAATTCATTGCGATAGGGCAGAGTCAAAATATTCTTAAGTGTAGGAATTTGCTTGGTTTGAGTAGAATGAAATTTTGTTGCTGCTTCAAAGGCTTTCTCCGGATTTCCTGAAGAGTATGACGGTGCCAGTTTATATCTATGCCTTAAAGCACAAGACATTGATATCCCTGGAACCTTCACATCTGACGTTGCTAAGAGCACCACCGTAGAAAGCAGCGCAGTGCTCACCTGGGTCGGGTTCAGTTGCAGTTTGTGACCAGGGGAGGGTGGGGTATTGTGTACCATCTTCATCATACCAGAGAGAACTGTCGTTCATCTGCAAAAACACAACTTGATGATAATGGCGTTATTCAGAGGGCCCGAGTGAGGGCTCTCTGTCCCTGATGAGGAAGTTGCTGCAAAATGTTTATGAGTTCCTAGAATGAGGGAGGGTCTTTTACAGCTTGGTAGTGTTCCTTGGCCTTACATATAGATTTGTATGCACTTCATAATAGGAAATTTCAAGTATAAATATAGTAAATCTGTGATAGTTGTTTACACTAGCGTCCAGTACTACCGAAGCAGGCTACATTTTCTTCTTATTCCCCCACAAGTTGATACAGTAAGGTTTAAACAAAATTTCAGGCACTGAAGAAAATACGACTGGCAACCAATTCTGAGATGTACAGTATATATAAAAAGTATAAAATTTGAACTAAAGACGTTAAACGTGATATTGCACATCATCTTCAATGAAAAACTAATAAAATTAAAATTATTAATTTCTTACAGAATTTAAAAAAAATGTAAAATCAAATGTTATTTTTAATTTACACATATTTCCTCACCCGACTCAGTCCGACGTACATGCCATTAACCCCAGCCAGTGATCTCATAGTCTTTAACTCAAGAGCATCATTGTAGTAGCCCAACTTGCCGCCCAGAGACACACAATAGTCTCGACCATCTGCCCAGATACCGGAGAAATGGAGGATTTGATAGTAGAAGCCAGCAGAATGAGAGATCCACTCCGAGGTAGGCACCTCAAGACCGTAGATGAGGAGAGTGGTGGTGAGGGAGGGTGTGGTGGTGATCACGTTGAGCGAGGAATAAAGTTTACACTCCAGGCTGACTTTGTCCCAGGTAAAGACCACACACGAACTGGTCACACTGCACCACAAACTGCACCTGTAAAACAATTCATTCTTAATGTATAGTATACGTAAATAAGAGACTACGGCCATGTAAGAATTATTTTCACCAAGATATTGTGAACAATGACAAGGCCAGCGGTAACTTCCTTATGGCAAACGGAAGCAGTTTAGAGAGCTAAACTTTACACATATATTACTATTGACCACAAACCCCCGGGTGGTGTGGGCATGAACCAAAAATCTTCCCCGACCGAGAGACATTACCACCGTGATTGCGAGAGGTAATTACCCGTGTCAGGGAGGGCACAATGTGAGTCAAGCCTCAGTAATATTCACCTAATTCAGTGTTGTAACTTATTATCTACATAAGTATCTTTCTGCTCAGATATTTTAAGTAACAGAGGAGTAAAACACAAGAAAAGGGTGAACTCTGTGTTATAAATGTCAACACCTCAAGCTGAAGTGAATTTCAGACTTTAAACCAAGAATTAATTATTACGGACACCCAAAAAGAATACAGACTCAGAGGAACACAGTGAGATGTGAGATGAATGCTGCTGACACTCCAGCGGCGAAATTCACTCGCGGACCCCGGAAACTTTGTCCGTGTGTGTATGTGAGGGGGTAAAGACACGTGCATGGGTAGTGCTGCTGGCACGGCAAGCAACAATGAACAGCTACCTGCAGTACTTCGGCACCTGAACGACCCTCCTCGCACCACACTCCCCCCCCCCAAAAAAAAAATATATATATCACCTCAGCCACCCAAGAGTGGTGGCGGTCGGCGAGTGTTTGGTGGCCTCACTCCCACCAAGGTCTGTAGAAGAGATGCTGTTTTTTCTCTTAAGGAGGTTAATCCACTTTATCTTAGTTCTTCATCTTTAGGACGTGTATGGAAGTGTATATTCCCCTCTCGTTTGAACAAAGAATTACACCCAAACACAACACAATTAGCGGGCATTACGTGACTAAGGACACCAGTATTCACAGTTGTGGCTGCAGCCAACTGAGGGGCGGTTTCTCGACCTCTCTACCCAGTGACATCATCCGTGAGCTGGGTCACATTTTGGGTTAGGCGTGGGATGACCCCCCTCTTCCAGAGAATTTGGCTCCCACAAGAGGCCAGTGGAAAGAAGAAAGGAAGGAGATGGCACGCAATTGGTGGGCAGGGTCAAAAAGCCTCTCACTTTCGCCGTCTTCCTCTTTTTCCACACATTTCGCAGCCCACAGGAAATCCTGCCTCTCGACCAAAGCTGCTCACTGAGAGACTTGCCCTGTACATGTACAGTCCCCTACACTAGTGCGTTTACAGGGGCTCGTCATATAAGCATAACACAAATCATTACATTGAGATATTTATTTTAATAGAGTTGTGCTTTGATTTCATATTATGTTTACTATTACGAGTTTCCATCTGTCGAATGTAAACATACTCAGGGCTGCCAAACTGCACAAAACCTGACGAGCCCCTGTAAACGCACTAGTGAAGGGGATTGTTCATGACATCACCAGAAAACGTCAACAAAAAGCCGTCAGGCCAAACCACAACCCACTTTAACCAGCAGTAGTGCCATGCTGGAAACACGGCATCTTGGCGCCTTATCAGATCAGCGAACTTAAGCAACGTTGGGTCGGGTTAGGACTTTGGATAGGTGACCGCCTGTCCCCAAGAACACCAGATGCTGCTGGCATAAGAACTCTACTAGAAAAAAGCTTCTCGTGGCTTTGTCAGTTGTTCTTCGTCATATTGACTGAAATTGTCAATTAATTATAAAACACACAGACTGCAGTAGATCACCTGATCCATCAATTCAACCCACAGTCGAATTGTTACTCTTGGACGCAAGGATCAAAGACTGATTCCCGTAAACCTTTTCCTCTATTGGGATTAATTATTTTAGTTTATCCAGTGTTTGTCCAGTCTCTCATTAAGAACGGCGATGGCTTTAGGAAGCTGCTGTTAAGTATACTTGAGTCTCCAATCACTAACCGCGTACGACTCATGACTTGGCTATTTCTATTTACGAAAAGGCCACGTTACCACCCTTATAAGAGCCTCCGCACCTACCCTGGATGATGGCGGCATTTTATGAGTCCCTTGATAATATCCTCAGCAGCCCTCGCATAAACTTGTGCTCATGGTGCACTTCAACCCCAGGGTAGACACCAACAGCGAGCTCTGGAATGGCGTTATCGGCCAACAGGGTGTTGGTAGGGAATGATTAATATATCACATCTGACGAAAAAAATATTAAAGATTTAATATTCTAATTAAGCAGTGGTTAATAGAATAAAAATAAATATTAAAGAAAATGCTTATGAAAGGAAATTTAAATAAAGTCATTGTTTCTGTTGTGAAAAAAATCCCTATAATTTAAATATTAGGAATGGAAAATTCATAATTTAGTTTTTTTTTTTTTAATTGATTAGATTAAAAAAGGTTACCCGATTCATCGAAACCACTCCCTATTGGCACCAAGTAATCATAACCCATACTATCTTCCAGGTGAAAAATAACTACAAGGTACACTCGCGCTCCAAACACTGGCTCGTGCTGGACTACATCAGTTCTCCTCAGCAGGACCAAAACGAAGTAAACCTCACACAGGCCATGCGCGCTGGACCGTCCACCACCTAATCAACTGCATATGAAAATTCGACCGCAACAGCTAGGAGGCGCCCAGAGCTTTCAGGTCCCAAGAGACTGTTAACAACTTCCGTAGCAAACCTGCCGAAAACCTTGCAAATTTAGACAGTGATGCTGACAACAACTTTAGCAATGTGGACATTTCCGTGGAGAAGGATCGATAGGTGAGTAAGGTCAAACTAACCCAATGACTTACAGATACAAACAACGTTCATGCCTTCCATGATGCCGTCAGATCTATGCATGGCTCACAGATCACATCATTCAGGATGCACTCCCTGACCTACCTCCTGTCGAATCTCTCGATTTCCCACAGTTAGCCGGGGTCCTCTCTGCAATAAAAAGCCTCAAGACGGAATCACAGCTGAGGTCCTCAAAAATGGAGACCATCTCCAGACACATGGCTTTACTAACGGCTCCAGGAAATCTGTGTTCATCCCTCAAGATTAGAAAAATTCTAATATCGTCACATTCTATAAGAAGAAAAGGGGAGAACAAATAAATCTGCGGGAACCACTGCGGCATTTCACTACTGTCAGTGGCTGGGGAAGAACTTTCCCGAGTCATCCTCTCCCGACTGACCCAACACATCACTGAAAAAGTACTTCCGGAGTCACCTTGTGAAGTCAGGAGGTACAGAAGCACCAGTGATATCATGTATGTGGCCCGACAACTACAGCAAAAATCTCGAGAACAAATTGAGATGTGTACATAAAGCATTCGACAGTCAACCGCGAGATTCTCGAAGTCATTCTGAGAAAATGCGGTGCCACACCAAAGTTTCTCAATGTACTTAGAAAATTCAATGTTGGTATACAGACGTGTGCACTTGCAAGCGGACTACAACCCCCGTCATTTAGCGTAGAAGTTGGGGGTGAAACGGGGTTCTGGACTTGCTCCAGTCATTGTTAACTTGTTTCTGGGAGCAGCCACCACTATCTCTCACAACTTCATTGCTGATGACGATGTGGAAGTGCAGTTCCGCCTCGATGAAAGTCTATTCAACCTAACAGTCATCCGGTTTGTCACACAGTCACACTTCACTATGTTGAGAACTGTGCTTTAATAGCCCACAATCCAGGGATGACGCAGAGCTATTTGGACATGATATTTGCCGTCTACCATTCCTTGCGCCTGGAAATGACCACAGAAGAGACCGAAGTGATGGCACAACTGACGGTGCCGCCCCCTCAACCTCTTGAATTTAACATCAACGGCGCCCCAAGTACGGTGTTCAGCAACTTTGGTAGCGTTGTAGCCCCAAACTGCAGCAAAACCGAGCTACGATGAGTGGGATACGTCAGCAAGCTGCCAAAACACCGCCTACCTCAACAATCCTTTGTGGACATCTACTAGACGCCAAGAGTAGGCCAGTTGGTCCTTGCAAATGATTTAAGGACCAATTTAAAGGGACCCTGAAGTGTTGCAATACAACCAAATGACCTGGAGATGATAGCTGCCGAATGATCATTATGGCTCTCATCCTGTTCTGACGGTGGACTACACCTCGAAAATGAGCGCACCAAGCAGCAACATACAGTATGTGGCGGGAACGCAGACATCTGGGTGCCCACGTCCAACCACTCCCTCTGATCTCGCTGTCATGTACCCCACCTGCGGACGGGGTTGCACCTCGAGAATTGGGACTCCACAGCCTCCAACAGTGGCACCGTCGTCAACGGCGTTAATATTCTCATCTACACCCGTAATTATAATCAAGTGAATCAACGTTATCGTCGGTATCGATGGATCGCCATAAGCAGCAAGTTAGCAAGCTGGGCCAGGCTGAGCGGCTGTAGGACTGTATCGGTTTCTTGTTCAATGTATAGTTGTTGATGTCATTTTTTTCTTACATCAGTCAACTTTTCCAGGTTGAGGGCAGACCACTGCTCTGTGTTTGTGATGGACAAAGTCAGTCAGACGAAGTTGTACAGTACCTTCTTTTTATTCACAATTTTCTTTTTTTTTCCTGGTGAACTACACTTAACCATATTATGATTGATTACCTGAGAAGTGACACTTTCCAGGTTTTATTTTGATGCCTCTTAATGTTATTTTTATGACTTTACGTGACGTCGTGAAATATTCTGAGGTATTCAGACGAATAACTTGAGCTCTGGACTTACTCACTGTGACTTCCGTAGGAATGGAAAAAAAAACTGGCAAAAAAAATAGTTAATGCATAGATATGTAAATACCAAGATATGTGAACACGCCTGACGGCAAGACTCTGTTACCATTCATTGTACCATCTATTCACATGTCTGTATTACTATATATTATTGTAGCATGTCTGATATCTATGCTTATGTCTAATGCCTATGTCTACTTACCATGTCCCGATGTACCATGTCTGTACCGCGCTAGTCAAGTAACTAGAAGATCTC